CAGTAAAACTGATTTGGGTGTCTTTCCTGGCTGGTCAGAATTGATCACAAATGTCTTACTCATCATTTTGTAATTTTTGCTCCATAAATGTCCCAAAAGAATACACCAAAAAGCTATGTTCCTTCCTAAAAGAAAAACAAACAAAATAACATAAATTCACATTTTTCTACAATTTCATTAATATTTAATGCCGGAACAATTCGTTGGGTAAGAATTTCCTATAACACCTGTCAAAAAGAAAAAAGTTGCCAACCAGGGAAATTCAAACAGTTTGTTGTATTTAATATTTTTATTATGTTGAATGCAATTGTATGCCAATACAACTTGTTATATATGTATATCACAATTGATAACACAAGAAGTAAACTAATGTTGATTAAAAATCACAGGTTTGACTACACAGACAACAGATAGGCCTATAGTTTTTTTGCTGTTTTGCTCATTATGTGAATATATTTGAATGATATATCTTTATATTTGAATATTTGATTGCAGGATTGATTTGAGACATTTTATCATCACTTTAAGTTGACTTCCAATGATGAAAAATTGTTTTCATTATGGTTTTGCATAAACAAAATACCCTTACAATTTATTCCTACACCAAAATTTGTGTTTTTCTTACAAAAAACATTCTTACCTTAAATTTTTTGTTCTTCTTTTGGTTTTTCTTCTGCTTCTTGCTAAATAACGGTTTTGGAAAGAACACATAAATATATGACTATAATTAAATATATATGATATAAATATGGTGGTGACAATAAAGAAAAGCTGCCATTTAAATAAAAATGGCATCAATAATGTACAAAATCGTTATTTAAATTAATGCTTGATGTTGTAGGTTTCACTTTTGAACATATATCATTTACAATAACGATGTAATACCATATGTATTACTAAAATATCAAAAACGGCGGCCATCTTGGGGAAAAAATGCATGGCCCCATATCCAAAATTGATCAGTACACCACTTCCTTCCTTCATGCTAAGTTTCATGCTTCTACTAAAGTTCCCACAATTATTCACCAATCTGCTAGGTGTAGTTTTCAGAAATTATTAAAAATTGGTTTCTAGGTTTATAAAAGTCTATAGTTGAATGAAAATTAAAGTATTGTCTAATTACACCCTGTAATATGACATATTACTTATTTCAAAATCTGTTAACATGGCAACTCAATGGAGGCCTGACTGATTAGTTGAAAGTCAGATATTGTGGTCCCAATTGGGTTAGAACAAAGATCTTGTCTGGTTTTGAGGAAATTTCATATAAAGATGTACTAATGCATTCAATTGTAATGACTTAAATATAAAGCCAGGTGAGCGTACAGGTCCAATGGACCTCTTGTTCTTCCGTTGGGATGAAGGTATTTTGACCAGATTTGAACAGTAGCATCCTATAGGGAAGGGAAATACATTTTGTATAAATGGTGGGTCTGACCCCTCTGGGGCCTGAGAGATGGGGCCCAATAAGACCATTTCCAGGTGAGCGATACAGGCCCTCTGGGCCTCTTGTTTCTTATGTCTGCCAGTTTAAGTTTCTCACTGACAATATTATTTATGTGTAAACGAATTTAACCCCAAATGAAAAAATTAAATGCTTTTGCATTTGATATGCAACATCATATTTTGTTATGCATGGAAAGGAATCCATAATAATGCCATCCGTCTTTTGGTATCGGTTTCAGGTAAAGCAACAAAATAGGACGTGATAAATATGTTAGGTATTGTCAAACTATGCTGTTTTTAGCTCACCTGGTCCGAAGGACCATGGTGAGGTTATGCCATACCGCAGCGTCTGTCATCCATTGTCCATCCGTCCGTCCGTCAACTTTTCCTTTAAAACGCTACTAGTCTTGAACGGCCAAGTAAATTGACTAAATTTGGTCTGGAGCATCCTTAGGCCAAGGGACTCAATTTTGTATAAACCTTGAGTGTGGCCCCCCTGGGGGCAGGGGCTGGGGCAGGGGCAGGGGCAGGGGCAGGACCCAATAGGGGAAATAGACGTCAAACCTTTAAATCCTTCTTCTACCGTACGGATTAGGGGTTTTATCCAAATTTGGGCCAAGGGGACTCAATTTTGTATAAATGTTTGGTGTGACTCCTCTGGGGGCAGAGGGGCAGGGCCTTATAGGGGAAATAGAGATAAAATCGTTAAAATCCTCCTTCTACCATAAGGACCAAAGGATTTTATCCTAATTAGGGACCCGTATTGGAGATATGGGTGCCCTATAGTAATCACTGTGTCTGTTTGTCTGTCTGTCTGTCCACAAATTTTGTTCCTGGCTGGTAGCTTTGGTATTTATTGAAGGATTTACATGAAACTTGGTCAAGATGTTCAGTTCACAAAAATACACACTGAGGGAAAAAGTCAAGGTCAAAGATCAAGGTAATTAGGTTCAAAGGTCCAGGTCAAATTTGGCATCTTTTCACTGATGAACATTATGTTATGACATGATGAAGCAAAGTTGATCATAATTAAACAAGATCAGAGGTCAAGGTCACATTTTGTAGCTTTTCACTAATGAGTATTTTATGACATTATAAAGCAAAGATGGTCAGAATTAAACAAAGAGACACACTGAGGTAAAAACTCGAGGTCAAAGGTCAAGATCATACGGTTCAAAGGTCAAGGTTAAATTTTGCATCTTTTCACTGATGAACATTTTGTTATGACATGATGAAGCAAAGTTGATCAGAATTAAATAAGAAGTCAACTGACAATAGGTCAAGGTCATCATGTCAGAGGTCAAGGTCACTGGGTCAAAAATCAAGGTCAAATTTTGTAGCGTTTCACTAATGAGCATTTTATGACATCATGAAGCAAATTTGGTCTGAATTAAACAAAGAGTCAATTGACCAAAGGTCAAGGTCAAATTTGTATCTTTTCACTGATGAACATTTCGTTATGACACTTTGTAGCAATGTTGGTCAGAATTAAACAAGGAGTCAACTGACCGAAGGTCAACGTCATTGGCTCAAAGGTCAAGGTCAAATTTTGTATCTTTCACTGGTGAACATTTATGACACTTTGAAGCTATGTTGGTCAGAATTAAACAAGGTGTCATTTGACGAAAGATAAAGGTCACTGGGTCAAAGGTCAAGGTCAACTTTTGTATATTTTCACTGATGAACATTATGACAACATGAAGCAATGTTGGTTGGAATTTAACAAGGAGTCAACTGACTTAAGGTCAAGGTCACTCGGTCAATGTTAAGGTCATATATTGTATCTTTTTACTGATGCAATTTATTTTTTTATGTTATTATGAAGCAAAGTTGTTCAGAACTTAGTCAACTGACCTAAGGTCCAGGTTACGGGGTCCAAATGTTCAAGGACAAGATCAAGTTTTGTATTTTTCACTGATGAACATTTTATTATGATATTATGAAGCAAAGTTGGTCGGAATTAAAGAATAAGTCAACTGACCAAAGATCAGGTTCATTGGGTCCAAAGGTCAAAGACAGAGTGGATCTCTGACTTTGACCCTGGCTTTTGTTGGAGGAGGTCTGTTCTCGGACCTTTGCTATTTCTATTCTATAGTTATCACAGATCTTGTCGATCCTATGAAAACTTTCACTAGACTCTTTGCTGATGATTCCTCTCTTCAAGAGTCTTCAGCTGACTTACATTTAAGGTGAAATAAAACAAATCAAAGCTAACAAATGAGTATTGCACCAGTATTTACATTTCTGTTAGCCCAGCAAATATGGAGGTGGAAGGAAACAAGACTCGCATCATAGAACATGCAAAATGTATATTTGCTTCCTTACGATTCTTTCTGAAGTCCTAATGTCAAACGTCAAGCTCGGCTACATGAGCAGATTGCTTCTTGATGATATTCGGGGATATATTGCCACAAGACGGGGCCCTAACTGATCCGTCAGTGTTCTAGTTTAGCCTGGAGAATCCTTGGGCCAAGGGGACTCATTTTTGTATAAATGTTGGGTGCCAGTGCCCCCCCCCCCCCCCCCCCCCC